GATCATTTGCGAAAATATTATACATAGAAAATTTGTCCAACGTTCAAGAGGCTCTCATGAGGTACGTTGAAGATCACACTATTTTCCCTGCAAATTCTCCTAAGAAACGCATATATAGAGTCAATAGCAATTTTCTTATAGAACCTAGAGTCTCTCCTTGCTCTAACTACAGTGTTTCCAAGAATGTGTACAACCCCAGCATCTCGACAACGATTTTAAGAATTCCATTTCGTCCACTTCTGCCTGGCTGCTCTCACGGCCCAACGATGATGTGACTGTATTGCTTCCTTGAGTGGGAGATTTCACAGGTACTATTGATTCCACCGTCGAACATGTAAAGTCATTATTTCCTGTAGTTGAGTTGCCGTTATTTCGCACTAAATAATCCATTGAATTCTGTGTTTGCTGTCCGTATAAGCTGTATTCGTCGGAGTCAGAGCAGCCTTCCATCATATTCTCCAGCCGAACAAAAAGGAAGAGGTTATCAAATAGCTTTCTCTCGAACTCCTCATCTTTCTTATGGAGGTCTTTGTAACCATACCTTGCAACACAGCGGAACATGTGAAAAGACTTGGGTCCTATGCGTTTCACGAGGAACCTCTCATCTTCTGGAACTGTGTAAACTGGAAGATACTTCACACAGACAAATACCACAACTGAATGTATAGCTGGCAGATTTGTAATGAAGTGAGAAAAGATGTGTGGCACCCCACTAGCCAGCTCGGTGTAGACAAGTCCTATCCCCGGTACACGTACAAGTCCTAAACTGGGGCCCAGCCCAAGAATCCATGCCATTGACACCTTGCTGTGCATCTCAAATGCATATCGTTTCACAGTTCCATAATGCCAGACATACATGATGACAAGAAAAGCTGCAGCAATCACAAGCGGAACCCAACCACCCTGATCAACCTTAAATAACACAGCAGAGAAGTAGGTACATTCAACCACCACAGATAAGACAGTGAAGATAAGGACAAGAACCCAATGGCAGCGCCAAACTAGTAACATTATCAAGGTCATGAGGAGCGTGGTCACCAACATGACTATCACGACTGCCGTTCCTGTTCAAGAAAATGTTACATTAGTATGTACATTTCAAGGTGAGGTGTTCCAACATATGGTGTAAATGCTAAACGCAGGAATCTATAATAGATAAGAAAACAGAATCATTGAGCCAGAATTTGCACAAGTGTGGTAAAGCAATAGCGAGCAGCAGGGGGCACCGGGGCAGCAAGCCTAGTATTCTGTTTTTCCCTTGTTCATCGCCCTTTATATTATTATATATTAATCTACCGAACAGAACAATCATTTTGTTCCATGACCCAACTTTCAGAGGCTTTGAACAAAGCATTTTAATTTTGAATTTTATGTTTACTTTAACAATTAATTCATTTCTTAATTTTCATGCATTATTTTTGTAATCAATAATCACAATACTAATTTGAAGGGAAGCCCTGGAGCAATGGCAAAGTTGTCTCCGTGTGACTTAGGTCACGGGTTCGAGCCGTGTAATCAGCCACTGATACTTGCATCAGGGTAGGCTGCCTACATTCCACCCTTCGGGGCGCGACCCTTCCCACACCCTGCGTGAACACGAGATGCTTCGCAAACTGGGCTGCCCTTTGTTTTTAAATCACAATACTAATTTAGCAACCTATAACACAGTAGACAAACAATTTATTAAGTCATAAACAGACTCACAAATAATAACCCTATTTGGTCTTTCTCTAGAAGATGGAGAAAAAGAGCTACATTGAAGGCTCAGACACATGACTTTACTGAGTGAACCCACTTTGCTGCTATGCCGCAGCTCTCCATTTTGTCAAGTGGTTTAGTCTTTGCTGTACACAATTTTTTTTGTTTTTGTTCGTGGAATATATTTACTTATATAGATAGTGAATTTTCAA